CATATGACAATAAGACTTTATTTTGAAGTTGGTAAGCAATTAACCATAAGATGGCTTGCCAAGTTGCCATACTTCAATTCATTTCTTCATACGTTATACGGAAACAAAAAGATGAAATAAAACTAGTGCCTTAATAGGAACCACATTGTTCTGCAGTAAACTAAAACGTGTAAATAGTTTTCTTAGGTATCTCGCATTCCTCCAAGACACACATCAATTCCATTTTAACCAATGTATGTTTGTGTCAGGCTTTGGACATTATGGTACAGAGACTTATTCCCCCAAAATGACTTCTAACTAGAATGCATCCGTCTAAATACACAATATTCCAGCAATTCAAAGATGAACAGATTGCACACACATCATCACCTGACTGTAGATAAACTTAGTAAAGGTCAGGCAACCGATAATCTTGATGGCATCTGTTTTGGCAGAATCCAGCATTTCAACAATATTATTCAACAGATTGTTCGCAAAACATGCCCTGAAATTGAGATTAAAAATCATTTTTTTGAGGAACAGAGTATCTACTTGTATCTTTTTTACTATATCAATATAAGAATATCACTCCATCTCAAAACTAATTTTACGGTTTGACTTTTCTAGTCAAAGCTTATAAACTTTAACCATAATTAACATAAAAAATACATTGAGTTATAATTTAGCTATAACGTCATTGTATTGAATTGGAGATGTAGGTTTAGAATATAGGGAACATTAGGGTTATTCAATTTGTTTATGAACAAATTTACTTGGAAACAGCCTCTTTACTTTAGAGTAGGGGCAAGGTCTATGTAACACATCCTCCCCAGACCCTATTTTTGTGGGATCCAACTGAGATGTTGTTGTTGCAATTTGCTTATGAAAAAAGTTCGTGCCAATACTCCAATAAATTTGAGATTTTACACAAATACTCTTAGATTACAAAATTATCAACGGGGTGCTCAAAGAATTTAAATATTTTTACTCAGATACTCAGGGATTACAAATTGATATACACATGAAAAAATGGAAAATCCATGTAAACTAAAAATTTCAATAGAGTTTTATAGGAAAAATATAGGGAAAAAAAGTTCATGCCAATGCTCCGATAAATTTGAGATTTTACACAAACACTCTTAGGTTAAAAAATTATCAGCGGGGTGCTCAAAGAATTTAAATATTTTTACTCAGATGCTCCGGGATTACAAATTGATATACACATGAAAAAATGGGAAATCCATGTAAAATTAAAATTTCAATTGAGTTTTATAGTAAAAATTTTTAAATTCTGGAGAGATAATTATGTGATCATGGAGACATGGAGTATTTTCATAAGATCTCAAATTTATGGAAGTATTGGCATGAATTCTTCCTTTGTTTATATATAATCAGAGAGATATTGATGGTGAAAGTATTACAGAGAAAATTGCAGAAGTCAAACTGTGAAGTTAATTATGGGACATAGGTAATTGAAAGCAAGGTTTAATGATGTGCCTGCATAATCACAAATAAGTCTAAGCATCAAGCTTTCACCAAGTAATACAGGGATGGGGATTGTATTGTATGATTCCAAATGAGTGTTTGTGGATAACAGAATAAGAAGAAATCTAAATCATCAAAATGGCGCATTAAACTTCCCTTGCCTCTAAGTAAATGCATCAAGGGTCTATTGGCAAATACCTCTTAGTATTTTGTGTACATCTTGACCCCAGACCTCAACAAAGTTTGCAAATTATATGGTACATCGGGATGTATCATACATCATGGAAAACTTGTAATTAAAAATGTTTCGAAATGAATACTACGTTGTTTTAGAATGAACACTATGTTATTTCAGAATGAACACACTACGCTAAGTAGGCTTGGAATGAACACCACATTGCTTTAGAATAAACACTACGTTGATTCAAAATGAACATTTACTTGACGTACCTAGTTCTAGATACATCCGGATGTACAATATAGGCTCTCAACAAATTTGGGATTATACTGGGTTTGTTTCCAAATGCAAGACATGACCTTATAAAGAGTTGTACATGCCTTGGATTTTTCATTTATATTTTAATACAAAATGAAAGTTGATAAAGATCTATAGCTTACATTTTTTCTTTACACATGCAAAGCAACTGATTGTAAACATCTGCAATAACATTGACTGATTCTGTGTGTCCACTACGCAGCTCCTTGTAGCACCTTTCTTCAAGACACTTTGCAATCTGTTAATTGTTTTAATAATAAGAATATGAACGCAAGAGATACGCAACGTACATGTTTAAAATTAACCATCGACTTAAAAGTTTCCACAGCTAAAGAAAGTTGAACTGACACAACTCCTGTGACGCTAATACCTTTGGGATGCGGAAGGGGTTTTTTGCTGCATATTCACATAGTTTCATGATTTTCCTTCCATTTGCAGAGCCATCCTGCATTCAGTTAGATATATTAAATTAAAAATACTCTCAGCAATATAAACAGCCATGGGTACAAGTGAAATGTTAAAGCACCCAACAAAGTGTGATGCAGAAGAGGGAGTGAGGTCTCTGTTTATACTTTATACTCCTAAGATAATTATACACCTTTTGACACAACTATCTCTGCTATGATTGCCATAATTCATAACCTTATGATATTCAAAATGAACCATATGAACCATAAACAAAAAATAAATAAAAAAATATTTACTATGTTGCTGTATCCCTTGCCTTAATACATTGAATATTCTGATTAATCTTTTGCAAATGATTAGGAGATTCATGCTAGGATTGCACAACTCACACACTCCTCAATATAGATGAAGCTTTACAGAGAGAAATGCATAGAGAAATATGTGTGGTAACACCAATGGTAAACAAAATGGCGGAGTACGGCTATCTATTGATGATTCCAGAGTATGTACAATTACATAGAATACACTATAAAATAGTTACACGGGGAATAATAAAAGTACAACCGTACAACCTAAAATTTTGGCATTAAATAGTTGCAGAGAATGCACACTGTAAAATAGTTGAACCATGTGAACATGAATATTTGAAGTACATCAAATATTACATTAGGCTCCACAATTTAACAGTTCATTCGCAGGGAATTAGAAAGTAGCTCAAAAAACTACTGTATACTCACTGGTGATTTGGGGAAAATGTCAGCCAACAACTTCTTGTATCGCTTAACAGGTTGCCGAGATCGGGACCTCAAAGCAGGACAGCATATGCACATACTCTCACATGCAGGGGCTAACTTGCGTGAAAGTAAACCCATTTTCCTATAAATTTCAGTAAAGAAACATAAATTATGAGCACAACCAGAACCGTAACTCAAGAGCCGACTGCATAAATTTAAAAATGTGTACCAATTTGATCTGATAAGTACATAAAGAGAATCTTAAGACTCAAACTGCAAACTAATTTGCAGGTCAAACACACACACACACACATTAAAGTCAATTCTTAGATTATATAATAACTTCATAAACAGCTAGAAACTGAACCATGTATCATGAAGATTTTCTAGTTAAGAGAATATAAAATTCACGGTTTGGTTAATTTCCATAATTCGATTTGAAGCTATATCCACATCTGGAATTATAGGTTACCAGTATTTTTCTGAGAAAATGTGCATTGACAAGGTTGGGTAGTGGGCACAGTATTTTTGGAATACAGTTCCAACAAAATTCGCACACCTACATGACATTTGTTACTGTATAATATACCCTTCACACACTTACCAGAACATGACTTCACTTTAGTAGTTCCATTGTAGGAAAAAAACACTCAGTTCATGCATAATTAACCCACGATAATGATTATTTTTAGTTGTTTTCCATAATCCACAACGTCGTCGCGTCATGTCATATTATCAGAAAGACAATGGGAAAGGGGGAATGTGTCATTAATAAAATTCCTGGTGTGTGTTGGCTTTTCTACCTTAGCACAAAATGGTGGTTATTCTCCTTAATTACTAATTACTACTAGTACTACTAATTGTTGTGTGGCATTGCACCACAAGGCATCATAGCAGCTACCCCTATGTCCCAAAAAAAGGTTGTTACTTTCACATGCCATAAACTTTCAAACAAACATGGTTTCCTGAAACCTCGAGTTCTAAGAACAACAGCTAATCTGACAAGATTAACTCAAAACAAATGAATGCCCTCAAACACATGATGAGAAAAGGGGAAAAGGGGTAAACGCTAAGAGAAAGATCAAGAAAGCATGAATAAAGTAATGAAACGTGAGAAATGCATTGATTTTTGGCAACAAAACTTCTCAATGAGAGAGACCCAGATTCAAGATTCAAGGCAAAACTGAAAATAACATTTCATTCTGCAAAAAAAACAATATTAAATCAATGAATAAATAAATAAATCCCACCCACAAAGAAATACATACCTTCGAGAGGCAGATCTGGGGAGTCAAAACAGCTCCCCCAGAAATGGGTCCTTCCTCCGGCAAATTCTTGAGCCCTTTTTTCAGGGGAAAAAAAATGGGAAAGAGAGAAAACAAGAAGAAGAGTGAGGAGAGCAAAGAAAGAGAGAAAGAGAGGGTTTTGAGGGATTCCAAGAGAGGAGAACACGTGATTGTCAGGGCAGGGCAGTTGCATTGAAGAAGTAGCTTTGCTCTTGTCATTTTCTGTCCCAAATTTGAATTCTTTGTAAACTTTTCACACAAAACTCAGATTGGTAGAATTCATGGTAATTAACAAAGTAATTGGACATTTGGAAGAGATCAAGATAGAATTAGGAAAGGCGTCTGAATGCACAATTTCTAATTTAGACAAGCCTAAAAGCTACGGAGTCCAAATATATTCCAAACACTGCTTTTTTCAATGGTTATTTGCGTCCTCTCTAACAAAAACTTCTAATTTATTACTATTCATTAATTTAAATTTAATCTTTTTTTCTTTAATGTTCACTATTAATTTGATAAAGTAATCGTACAAATTCATTGCTTATTTTTTTTAAAGCTTTAATTGAGAAGTATCCATTGAGAGATGTAAGATATCTTTAAAATATTGAAATAGAAGTGTCATTATTTTCATCCATTATAAGGGAGTTTCGCAGAATAATGGTGGCAATGTGATAGAAGTATACTCCCACTCAATAACTTATGTTTGTTAGTAAATTTTCACCAATCATTTGATAAGATAAAATATTCTGGTGACAACATATTTTGTAGAGCTTTTGATGTAATTTTGAATATTGTAATTTGTACTTTTTATAATATACCAAATTATAAATAAAATAATTTTAAAAAAATGAAATTTATGGGAGAATATATAATATTGTGAATATTAACGTCCACAATATGTCTCATACATTTGATTTAAGTGACGATTTCCTCTGAGTGTACCGTCCACAATCTAGAAGAGGACAATTGATCCGATCTTTCTTCATGATAATAAATACACCTACTTTATTTGAGCCTGAACATACAATAAAGTAGGTGTATTTATTTCTTGCATATTTATTATTATTCATAGAATCAAATTTTATATACTTTCTTTAACTATTTTTGTTTCATATTTGATAAAATAACATATTAATGTCAACTCTTGTTTCATAGAATTTTTTATGATATTTTTTGTATATGTAATTTTTTTAATTTAACTCTAATCTTTAAACAGATTAAATTAAAAATAACTTTAGTAAACATCATAAGCCAAAATCAAAATAGATACTGTAAATTAGAACGGAGGGAGTATTACATGTGTACCTTTGGTGTCAAAAATTGGAGTTGCCAGGGAAGTTACTCCAGCTTTTATAATTAACTTGGAAGTTTACAATGATAGTGGGATATTTTCCAAGTATTCATCTATGTTGCTTGAACAAAAAAGTCGTCCAACCTTAATAGGCAATAACCCAATAGACATGCAAGTAAATTTTTATTACTTCATCTGTCTTAAATTTATTATCTCACTTTAATTTTATCGAATTTTAAAAAAATATTACTAGGTAAAAAGTAAAAAATGAGTGATTAAAATTTATTTATATAAAGGAAAAAACTATGAACTATATTCTTAACTTTATTACAAAAGTGAAAAAATAATTTTTTTTTTCTCGAACTGAAAAGAAAAGTGAAATAACCAAATCTAGCTTAGAGGTAGGGGTTGCCATTATAGAAATAATTTTGGGATGAACAAGTTGCTTAGAATGGATGGTTGTGTCAATCTCAAGAAATAAATACACCTACTTTATTGTATGTTCAGGCTCAAATATTATTTAATTGTCATTTTCACTTTGTTCAATTTCCTTTCCTCACATTAATACAGAAATACAAGAAAGGCTTAGTTTTATTTATCCTAGTTATATTTCTCAATTTTTTTGTTTTACTCCTTCCATCCAAAATTAGGTTAACTGTTTATTACTCCGTATTCACAAAATCAAACTTCAACAACTTTCCTTTTCTGTTTTTGTTACTCATTTGATAAAATAATATTGTCATATTATCTCTTATTTTTCAAAACTTTTGATGTATTCCGTAATTTTTAAATACTCGATTCATTCAAAAATTATCTTCCCGCTTTAACCTTACACACAAAATTAAAAAAATTACAGAGTATAAAATTATATTGACTTTCCATATTTATTCTTGGGTCATTGCAAAAGAGTGGGATAAAGTATAGATATACATAATACTACGTAATAATGAATAAAGGTGAGGGTGGTAGTGTGGTTTAAAGAAAAAATAATTGCCAAAAAAAAGAAAAATTAATTTATGGACAGACAAATAAGGAAAGTGATAAATAAATTATGGACAGAGTCCCACTGAGAGAGTATGTAAATTGTACGGAGTATTTTTTAGTTCCACTTCAATTTTTGAATAAATTAGATTAAAAATAACTTCAGTCAAACGTGGTAAACCAAAACATACGATAATCGTAGCAAACTTGAAGTTAAACTTTAGTTTGAAAATTCATTGGCACCATCTTCTGAAATATGACATTTTGAACAACAAAAATCTTTTGTGAAATGCTGGGGACTTGGCTTTTGGGAAGAGGGAGCACTCCACATACACTGATTTCAACTTGCACTCCAAAAAAAGGCCAAAAAAGAGCATCATAGATTAATACGAAGTAAAACATCGAATTCCGAAATCTGCAGAGTTAATATCATCATGACCTCTATATGCACAACCACACAATGTGCAAGTGATACGATTAGGTATACATGCCCTATAACCTCATTGATTAAGGCCGTACTTCATCCGCAGCGCAGAGAGAATCTTAGCATTCTCTGCAGTTCCCCTGCTAAATACTTCATCCCATATCTTGGCAAGTTCTGTTTAACGAAAAGAAAAGAGTCGTTACGCTTATCACCGGACTAGGCCATACTGCAAAATGCATGTAATGATAGTTCTTGATCAGACATTAATTTTAGACCATACTGGTTTCTTTGATTAATATTTCATACATTTATCCATTTTAGCCACTTCAACCATTTGGCGAGATTTACCTCTACCATTAACGCTCATTAGCCACCAACATATATAAAACATTTGCCCGAGATTAAGAACATGTAATCTTCAAGTTATTCTTATTGGAATCAGTTCAGTTCAGATTAGATCAAACTAGATCAGATCAGAAACAACTTTAAGAACATGTTATCTTCAACTTATTAACGCTCATTAGCCACCAACATATATAAAACAATGGCCTAAGATTAAGAGCATGTTATCTTCAACTTATTCTTATTACTTATTCTTATTGGAATCAGTTCAGTTCAGATTAGATCAGATCAGAAACAGCTTTAAAACAATGGCCCGAGATTAGGTGGTATGCACTATGGAGTACAACAACAAGATGATCATAAAACAAATACCAGCTTTATCCGAAGATGATAAACACATGATGATCATGTTGAATCTTGGGACCTTTGGCAAATTTTCCAAGTACTTAACAGCCAACTCTTCATCTTCCCTGCTTGACAGAGGAAAAACCACATAAGTGTTGAATATTTGGTAATGGACTAATGGTGTGCTTGTAAATGGTGAAATCACACATCTACATACCTAAAAATTGTGGCAATACACCGGAGAATGTCCATAAGTGCAGAGGCAGTTAATGCATTCTTAAATATCTGTGGTAATGAAATGGGTGACGTCACCTGAAAAGAGTATAAAACAAAAAGGTGAGAAAAGTGTGCAGGCATAAAACCAATGGAATCTATAAATGGAAAATGCAGTATGGACTTGTCAACTAAAGGAAGTCTGCAAAGTCATCGACTAAAAGAAGTAGAGAGCCTTATTGGACAAGACCTTCAATAATTGAGCTTGTAGATTACGATCACCAGAAAGTCCACGCCAAGTAACCTCAAACTGATAAGCAGAATTTGGTGGTGCAATATTTTTTACAGCTTCGGCTTTGGCATATTTAGCTGCTCGGACAGCAAGCTCTTGCACAGTTTCCTTCATCTCATGATTGCCACTTTTTCGGTTTCTCTGCAGAAACTACAGGACGTTGGAGGTCAGAAAATGTGTGATCATTTAGCTTCTTTCTTCATATGCTTTAGAGTTTGGCACTTGTGTGAACATTTGAATAACAAAAATAGAGGGTCGCGGAAAGTTGCAAGCCGGCCTGTGACAATGATGCTTATTTTCAAAAGTCAGTTGTATAAAAATTTATTTTAGACAAAAATAGAGACATGCCACTTCACCCCAACAAAATTATCATGACTCGGGGTTCTAGCAAATAATAATAGTTTAAATAATAATCATTATCACAACCACTCAACAATACATAAAATTTATCATGTATAATACTAGCACAAATGGGGGAGTCTCTCTCCCTTGTTGTACCTTAGAGGTAAAGGGTTTGACTTTCTTGCAAAAAGCAAGGTAAACATGCCCTAGGTTATGCCCTTCCCAACACCCCCCCCCCCAAAAAAAATGTGTGAAACCTTCGCCAATGGGAACACCCTTCCAATAATGCACAAAATTAGCTATGCATTCATGAAAAGAAAGGCTAAAATTATTTTGCATACTACACAATGAAAAAACGATGAGCAACTGAATTAGCAAGATTTTTAGAAATTAGGATGTGCCATATCCTATGAAGCCATAAAATAGTGTGAACTTGAAGTCTTGAACTAATATGCTATAGCTAATACTAGATGTAGGGAGGCATACGTCGGTGAATTACACATTGGACTGAGTAATGTTTAGCTAAACTGAAAATGAAATAGCCCATTTATCTCTTTCGGACGGAAAAAAACAGAAGAGCCCATTTGGAATCTAGCATAGCTTGTTTAAAATTATACACGACTTGAAGATCAAACCTCTGGTCTAGTTATTGAAGATTTACGAGTAGCATCATTCCCTGTAGCATCTGGCTCTTTTGGATCAAGTTGCATAGGACTAGCTTCGATGTTTGTTGAGAATTTCTTAGAGACAATTCCATTACCCCCCTGCAGAGAAATTGTGAATTTCAAACACCTCAAAAGGATGCTCAAGAAACGAATACATTATTATATCCTTAATTGATATGTCTTAAGTTAATCTTCTCCCTTGCTAATTTACATCCTAGAGATCCAGGTCTGTAAAATTAAATTGCAAGTACCTGCTTGGAGATTATCTCCATTCTTACACCTCGAGGGAAGTTAAACATAAAACTCAATCCACAAGAGTGATTTTTTATAACTGAAATACTAGAACAAGATAAATAAAGATACTATTATACAAATATGTTCTTTGCCCATGCTAATATAGTGAGGTCATCTACTTGAAATCTTTGTTTTCCATTCTTTTATGGCATCTAAGAACTATAGCAGGTCTTGAGTAGGAAACTCCCCAACAAAATTCTTTGTACGGTTCATGCTCATGAATGTGACTGATTTTTACATTATCCAGGCCTGGGGACAGCAATGAACGACACAAGTCACTGGCGGATGCGCAGAGTTTACGTTGATGTGCCATCCACAACTTAAAAGTATAAGGACCAGTACCTATTCAGGCTAAAGACCTGAGTAAAAGATACCTGTATTTCTGTAATCCGCTGAGAACTACTCGATACAGAATGAACAGTGTCTTCTGATTTATTTATATCATGCTTTGGCAGTGCAGACCTTTCTTCCCTATAAACTGAACCTTTGGTCATTCCAGATGCCTTCTTAAGAATTTCCTGTTTTCAATTGATAGAACTAAGTCAAATGACTATTAAATAATGCACATAGGCAAATACACATGACAGTGACTGAATTTTGCAAACTTCTACAGGCCCTACAGGCTAACACACTCTAGTCTCTAACATCTACAGCTTAAATATGTCTACAGGACTCTAGAAGTCTAATGTACTAGCAGTTGAGGTTGAGAACAGAACTGTCCAGTTGAATCCCACTAATACTGGGGAAGGTGTGTGTACGCAGACCTTGCCCCTACTCGGAAGTAGGGAGGCTGTTTCCAAGAGACCCCCGGCTCAACCTGCACAAAAATATGGAAGGGAACACAGTATAACACGGGTAAAGAGCCAAGTACAAGCAACAAGTACAAGCAATAGCAAAAGATTCCAAACAAACACAACATACTACAAACAACCTCTACAGCACCGAGCTTCTATCCAGCTACTCTAATCCTAGTTCTCCAAAGGTTCCTATCTAAGGCCATATCCTCAGTCAGGGTGAGGATTCCTAAATCCTGCCTAATCACCTCCCTCCAATTCTTCTTAGGTCTACCCCTTCCCCTACTTTCCCCGATAACCGTAATCCTCTCGCATCTCCGTACAGGGGCGTCAGAATCCCGCCGTCTCACATGACCAAACCATCTCAACCTCGCTTCCCGCAACTTGTCTTCCACCGGCGCCATGCCCACCTGACGTCGGATAACTTCGTTCGAAATCCTATCCAACCTTGTCTTCCCACACATCCATCGTAACATCCGCATCTCCGCCGCATGCAGACGACGCACATAAGTCTTCTTAACCGCCCAACACTCTGCCCCATATAACATAGCAGGTCTGACTACGGATCGATAGAACTTACCTTTCATCCTGGGCGAAATCTTCGGATCACACAACACCCCTGAAGCTAACCGCAATTTGGCCCAAGCCACTCCAACACGATGTCCAACATCCCCATCTAACTCCCCATCAGCCTGGATTACCGAGCCAAGATATCGGAACCTGTCTACCTTAGGTACTAGGTGAGAGTCAATCCTAACTTCCACTTCTGATTCTATTTCCCGGCCGCTGAAACGACATTCCATGTATTCAGTCTTGTTCCTACAAATTCTGAATCATTTAGTCTCGAGGGCAAGGCGCCATAGTTCTAACTTATCGTTTAGTCCCTCACGTGTGTCGTCGATAAGCACAATATCATCCTTAAAAAGCATGCACCATGGGACCCCTTCTTGAACATCTTGAGTCAGGACGTCCATCACCAAGGCGAACAAAAAAGGGCTAAGGGCAGACCCTGGTGCAACCCCATCCCTACCGAGAAAGACTCAGAATCGCCCCCGGAAGTCCTTACCCTGGTCATAGCCCCATCGCACATATCCTTGATCGCGCGAGTGTACACGATAGGAACTCCTCTCGTCTCAAGGCCACCTCAAAATAATACATGTTCCTAAAAAGAACATTCTAATGCTTATTTATATGTCAGCATGATCCACTAATAAAATACTGAATTAAAGAGAATGTGTATTAAGATTCAAATCAACAAACGTCTATGAGTGCAATCAAAAGCTACTATTTCTGCATGGAGGCTGCCTAGAAGGCAAGTTCAATAACCAGATATAAACAAAGTTTACAACGCAACCACTAACAAACAATTACTAGTATAAAAGCAACTATAGTTATAGTTATACCTTTTCAAATAAAGCTTTTACTTCACCATACTGCTTCTTAACCTCATGGTTATGCGGTTCCAGCCTCAAGGCAATATTTGCATCTGCAATGAGCTATAACTGCATTAGAAAAATACTGTATATCATCAAAAAACATGAGCGCTTTCATTCTTTTGAATTTGAAATATGAAACTATACCTTCAACAGATTCTCTTAATTTTCCAAGCTCTTTTCTAGCAGTTGAACGTCGGCAATATGCCTTGATGTATCGATCATCCAAATTCAAAGCTTCTGTGCAGTCATCCTCAGCCTCTTGGAATCTGAAATAAAGTAGAACTGCATAAGGCATGCAGATTAGAATAAATGTCTAACTATTAAGTTAACTAATTGTTAATTAATTTCCGCAGAGAAACCAAGAGCATAACGACTTGCCTTTTGATCTTAAGATAAGCCATAGCCCTGTTGGCATAAGCTACTGCAGTTGGTGACAAGACGATGCTTCTAGAGTAGCAATCAATTGCTTCATTGAATTTTTTCTTCTTAAATAACTCATTTCCCTGTAAAGCAGTACCAAATTGAAATGGGCTACTCAAGATGTCCTAGGCATGCACTTCAGTCTGACACATGAGTACGACTTAAAAGCTTAAGGCCAGAAAGTACCAACTCTTTCTCTGAATTAGCATCAGCAAAACTATCTTCTGTCTTGAAACGACTTGATAAATGACCAATTGAATCATACTTCTGCAAATAGCTATATTGATTGGCAGCAGCAGAGCTAGAGTTTGGTTTTTCGGATGGTTTTCCATCAAATTGAGGAACACTAGAAAGTTGACTAGCAGGTTTTAGCCCGTGTCTCTGTGAAAGAGAAATGGAAAAGAAATGATTAAATGAATTTTCAGTTGCAAAGCAAATAGGTGACCTGAAAAAGAACTCACACAGCAGATTTCACACAATCAATACTACAACTTATCAGATAAAATGCACAGGAAAATATAACAGTAGTTGAGCTGTAAAAGTCATATTAAAAATATAAGTCTGAACTTGAAGTCCAAGTGCTGAAAAGGTTAGGGAGTGTCTATAAGACAATATATAAAATGTGTTTGAAGTCTGCATCTAAAATGTGTTTGAAATCAGTTTTATGTTTTGCACTTATAATTCCCAAAAAAATCATTTCTAATTTTAAGCATACACATTTTCCCCATTGTCATTTTCATTTTTTCATTTTCTATGTCCATATAATAGTTATTTAAGGCGTGATGCACACCGATGCGCAAAGGGCTTCTAGAGCCTTGATGAGCAATGCGCATCTGATGCGCGAGCATCACAAACATGATGTGCATATGTAGGCACCAGTAGATTCTTCCATACTACAGCAATGTGTTTGAAAAATTCACTTAGAAAAACAAAAGTTATATAAAAAAAAACAGAGCAGTATGTTTGAAAAAAAAAAGAGAACTAATGTACATCTAAGGGAAAAAAACCAATGAAGAAAGAAAAAATACCGTGACTCGGGTAATTGCTTGTGCGACATGCCTCGTAGGTGTGCGACTTACCATAGTTCATAACCAGTGAAGAACGTGTGCGCCTTGCGACTTGGAAGGAGGAAGAGTCGGAGACAGTGGAAGAAAAGAAAAGAAAGAGAAAAGAGAGTCGTTTAATCTTGCGAGAGAACCTTTATGCCGTTTAATTTTGCGGCATAAATATTAACACTAATCCCTAAACCTAATCTTAAAAAAACTAAAATTAAACTTTGTTCCCAATGCGCGCCTTTTTGCGCATCACTCTATTGTGCTTAATCTGACGAGGCACAGTAAGGCGTGCGCCTCATGAACAGCGTGCGCATCAGGTTTGGTGATGCACTGCCCCTAGCGCATCATGCCTCAGGCGCACTTTTCACAACTATGGTCTACTCTATAAAGTAACAGTGTTTTTTGTAATGAATTAATGATGACAATTGTGTGAGGGTGGGTAAATGGGGTAAGGGTGATGATGTTGGAGTAGATTTTAAAGGACAAATGAACCTTTCTAAAGGAGATTGAAAGCTTGAAAGTTGAAACATATATGATTCTTCCGAAATTTCAAGCAAAAAGGTTAATATTGAAGCACTGTACTTTAGATATCACTTCATGAATCAAAACTAACGTTCCTGGGATAATAAGAGCAACAAATCCAACCAAACAAAGAATATCATAATCAGAAACACAACGGTAAACGAAGATCAAGGCAAATGCATTGCTTATACAAATCAATTGTGATATCTTCTGGTCATGAAATGATGAAACTATAAGAAAATTTAGCATAGTTACCAGCTTCTCTTTGCCTGGGGGCTCTTGTTTCATCTTCTTGTCCTTGTCCTTCAATGACAGTTCCCAGTCCTGCAGATTATTCAATAGCCCCTCGACGCCCTGGTGAACAAGATTTCAACTAGACTCCATACATAACTTCGCATACATAATTCGAGCATATTGATAAAACCATCTACTATGACAGGAGAAGAAAAGGGCTCTTCCATATCAATAACTGTGCACCTATCAAGGATTTAACTTTCCCCTCCCCCATTTTTCCTTCTCTTTTCTTGGAACCTTATCATACCAAACTTTTTTATGATATTTCAAGAAAACTGGGCACTTTATAACTGAGAAATTCTCAAATGATAAGATACATAGCTGAGAAGAACACATTTAGGAAGTAAAGAATTCAAAACTTGAAGGGGAAAAAAATGGCAACTTAATTTCGTGATATAGTAAAAACCTGAAGTTGATCGCGGCTATGATTGCTCGGAACCCTAGCCATATGGAGCGACTGAGTGGTGAGGAAACCCGGGGTTTTGAGGGCAGGTATTCACGATTTTTAGCTCCTCGACGAGTGAGTTTTTGCTTCACTGTGTTGGCCCTTGGAAACGCTTATGTTATTTGGGGATTGGCCCCTTCTAGTTTTCTTAATTAGCTTTCCCACAATATAGTGGAAGTTTATTATAAACGGGTCAAAACTATTTATAATCAATTTTTAATTTATAAGTCCAATGACGACATGTTTCTGTGTGCTTATAAGCTGTTTATAAGTCAGAATAAATAAGTAGGTCTTAACTACTTATTTTAGAGTCACTTTTTTCGTTTTTCCGTTTTAGTCAAATTAATTACAAAATTGTTTCTGACCATTTATGAATATTTACAAGCTGCTTATAAGCTAAAAAAGTAAATAGATCTTAGGCAGCGTTCCGTTCAACTTATTTTTTCTGCTTATTACTTATTCTTAATATAATCGGATCAAACTAGATCAGACCAGATCAGATTAGATCAAAGCATAAACAACTTTAATTGTAATTGTAATCGGATCAGATCAGGCAAACGGAACGCAGCCTTAATTACTTATTATTTAAGTCATTTTACTTTCATGACAAAATATATGACTTATAAGCAATTTATAAATTAAAAACTGATTATAAACAAAAGGCATTGGTTGTACATGAATAACTCTACCGTCGGACAATGTGTGCACATGCCCACTTCAAGTTGTACCATCACCATTAACGATAGTAATTTTATCATGTGATGAAAATGATCATGTTCTCCATTAGGATATATGGATTCTAATACATTAAATACAACTTTAGTGTCTCCACTACCCTCTCCATGATGATGTTGATAATAATAATTTTAAAAATAATAATAACAACAATAACAATAATAATACTCCGTAATTCAGTTTCCTAGTACTTTTATTATTACTAATGAGGCCACAAATATAACCGGTAAAGAGGATGCAAAGCCAAGTTGCCTCAATCAACTAAGAAAAATATGAATAGGCAAGAAGACTAGCTAATAATAAATTAATAATAATAATAATAATAACAGCAATTTGTCAAGACCATAACTAGTTTAAGCATGTCCAAGTCCTGGTCCTCCGAGTGACAAAACCACATCTTGAACGTCTCTCCCATGGCCATGACTCGGCTCTTTCAAAGGCGGAGGCGCTCTCACACATGTGCCACTCCGCCTTTTGCCCGGCACCGTTCGAAACCTCTGGTAAACATCTTCCCCACCCGACAATTGCACTGCCGGGTGGGCTTGCCTCCTAACAGAAAGGTGGGCAGTTTGGGTCACTGGGGGCGCCGTCAAATGGTGGTTTGGGCCAAGAACGGGTCCTTGTGGCCCGAGACCAGGTCCCTGCACCATGAAATCACATTCATATACATATTAGGCATGGTACATTGCTACAACTATATATTTTAGCTAGGGATATAAGAGAGATACCAAGGATGACACCAGAACCATTATATCTCACAAACACGTACAAATAATAACAGTTTGTGTAATGTGCGGAATTATTTGTGAAACACAATGGTGTCATATATGGAACCATCCTTGGTGTCTCCGTATAGTAGTTTTTTTTCTATGAGCAAGCAAAGCTTATTACCGGAGGGAAAAGGACGCCTCGGAACACCTTCCCGTTCACCGTTGCGGTCATTAGGTAGCCCGAATCGAAGGCTCCGTCGACCTTGCCGTGAATCTCTGCTCCAATCTACATTGCGAGCATGCAAAAATGGTTAATATTAGGAATATTAGGGATAATAGAAAAAAATACTCCCTCCCCCTAAAACATTGCCACAATTTGACTTTTCTGTGGCTACCTTTGACCGTGAATTACGAAAAAAGTAAATATAGTTTAAAAAAATATAATTTCAATATAATTGGATATATTTTAAAATATAGTTTTGAAATATCAAATTCTTATAGAAATATTTGCACTAAATAGCACTAAAACTTAAGTCATTTCCCTAAATAGCACTTAAACTATTTTTTCCTTAAATAGCACTTAATAATGTCCAGTGATGGCGAACATTTACTTAAATAATGACTAATTGATAATGACTAAAAATGCTATATTGGGAAAAAAACGCATGTGATGCTATTTAGCGAAAGTCATTATGTTTTAGTGTTATTTAAGTAAATTCCTCATTCCTATAATATTTAATTATTTTAAACTATATATGATTTGTAGTCAAAGGGTATGACAGTTTGATCAAAAAAGTCAAATTATGACAATCTTTTTGAAATGGAGGAAGTATAATGATAATATTATTATTTACATTCCTCGTTCTATAAATACCATAACTGTTAATTTGTTATACTATTATGATTAAGATTCTTTTTATATTTCCTATGTATATGGATGAAATTTTTATTATTCAATAAAAATATAAGACCAGGACTTAGACCATTAGAAAAAAGGGTATATATGAACCTAAGGTGTAAAAATAAAATGATTCTTACCAAGCTAGGGGATTGCCCCACCTCCAAAGGTTTGACACGGCTTAATCCATGAAGATGCTCCAGGCCAACCAACTGCAAACCCTTTGCGGTTACGGGAAAAACGGGCAAAGGATTAGGGAGATCAACTTTGTGGACGCCGCCGAGGTAAGACGGCTGGCCGGGCTTGTTTGGCGGCGAGCTTTTCCTCCGGAACAAAGGGAACTGGTCGTCATGCTTAGGAGCCACCGGGCGGCCGACCATGACGGTGGCGCTTGTTGCCGGCTCTTGGTCGGATTGAGACGACGAATTAGACGAGTGATTGGAAAGTGAGAGAGAGCGATAATCAACGTCCTCGTCTTCCTCTTCCTCCTCCATGTCTGGATTTGTTAGCATTCTTCTCCTCTTTGGGTGCAATGTCTCTGAAGAAAAGTGAAAAACTACTTAAATCCAGACTTTACATAGGAAAGTACTCAAATCCGACTTGACACTCTACTTAGGCCCCGTTTGGCATTAGCGTCGGAGATTAGCGTTAGCGTTTTGAAAAAGTTATCCGACGGTAACCTTTAGCGTTAGCGTTTTCAGAATTAATCTGCACCATTAAAATTTTATCCAAAATGCTAACGCTAATCGAAAACGCTGTTACCAAACAAAGCCTTAGTTGACTCGGCCCACCGGAAATCCAACAGTACTCCCTCACTCCTCACACGCACAAAAAGTGCGCGTTTTGGTGAGTAAAAACGATATAAGTTCTGATGTCTCCTGATATCATAATGAAAGAAGAAAGCTGCCTATGTGCCCGGCGAGTGGCACGCACATGTGATTTTTGTTTGTGTTCAGAGGCAATGCCATTGTCTCGCGGGAACAAAAATCACATACAGTGTCACCCGCGAGCACTATAGCACGGTTCTGGGCTTTGGTTATATGAACGTTACGGAGAATACGTATATTGTGTGTAGTATGCCAAGCTTTATTTTTGTTACGCACAAATTCATTTGTGAAGTGTGAAAATAAAGCTTGGTGTAGACCTTAGTTAATTAATTAATCAACACTTAAGCATTTTTGTGGTTCTAATTACCTAAACCATTATGAATGAAAGAGGGCATTGATTCCAAGCTCAATACTCTTTTAGCGTCTGTTGATAAGGCCATCTTCTTGGCACTCTTAGTAAACAGCTCTTCTATCTGCAAACAATAAAACACTATAATTTATCAGTAATTAGTCTAATCACAATTTTAACTAATCAATGGGACTGATTAATTAAAAAAAGTCATCTAATAATTACACATTTTTAACCTTTCTGCTACACATTTTCCCTTCTTCATAACCCATCAAGTTCTCACAGCTTCTAGAACCTGCAGATAGGCTGCTGCTACTCGCGTTGTCGGGTTCGGCTCGAAGCTGCAAGACGAGCAGCTCGTTCAAAGGCCGCTCGTCCTCTCCACATCTACAACGACGGAGGAAAGGAATATTGTAAGAATACCGATGTAGAATACGGCGTAGCCGGGCCCCTCTATAGAGTAGTTCCGAACTCATGATCTCTAGGTCAGCAAAGCTCTCATACCATGTCAAAGAACTAACTCAACTAAAAGTTCAAACTAGTAGTTGTAGGCCCAGAAAAAGTTTTATACTCTAGCATATATTTGGTACAAAGAGTGGTTGAAAGATGAAGGCTCACCCTCCAAAGATTGCTATGTTTGATGAGGGAGTGAGAATGGATGCAGTGTGAGAAAACCGGCCTTGCGGCTTTTCGCCACGCGTTTCGATCTCGGTCCATGTACGGTTTATCACGTCGAGCTCCCAAACGTCGTTGTAGTATTGCTTGTCACCCACTCCTCCAATAATGTACACCTGTGAATCGTAATGTTCGTAGTGAGAGACGGGATATACATTGTCCAAACTCCGGTTAATGTGTCCGTTGGTTCATGTTAAGCTGCGACACTTATCGATCGACTCTCTCTTCCCTCGAACCGAACTCGTGATTAAATCTTTCAGAGTTTAAGAATGGGTGTTTGAACAGTGAAATGTTGAGAAAATGTGAATTTAATTTAGGGACAGAGAAAATATTACAAACCTTGGAACCATAAGTCACACAAGCATGACCTGCTCTTACACCGGGAGAAGGTCCACGAACATCAAACTGTGAAGATGACCAAAATACCCCCATAGTAGTTTATGTATTCATTTATACCAAAGTAATAAAGCATTAAGAAGTTCTAAGATTCGTTAAATAAAAAGAAGAATTTATTTTGAAACGTTTCCAAAAAAAAAATAATTAGAAGAGAGTGCTTATGAGAGTTGTACCGTTGACCAAGTCAAAGTATCCAGATCAAGCACATCAACTTCTCCCTGATGCCTATCCCCACAATCTCCGCCATAAACAAACAGATTGTGGTCTATAGCAAAAGCACAATGGCTGTCCCTTGGGGAGGGCACCCTACCCTCCACTTTAGGGGATGTCCAGCTCATGCTTTTAAGGTCCAAGACGTGTAAATCATTGAGATAATTGGCCTCTCCTTCCCCACTCCCCCCAAACACCACCACCTTGTCACGCCCAACCAGCGTTGCGGTGTGACTTTCGCGTGGCGAAGGAGGGGTCCCCTGGCATTCGGGCCGGGCCCAAATCCGCGTTTGGAGGTCCAATACGTGGAGATCATTCACCTTCTTCGAACCATTCGTCCCGCCAAACACTATCATCTTGTGTCCAACGACAACCGCGCTGTGGCTGTCTCGTGGGCCCGGACCTTGCCCCGTCGTTACTAGAACATTCCACGCCATTGTCTTGAGATTTAGAACCAAAACATCCCTAAAATGCAAACCGCCGCGGCATCCCTGCATATCGAACCATTACTACTCTTAGGCCTTGCTTGGAAAGAACGATTATATTTTAATTAGTGTTATGTATTTTTTGTAACGATGCAATTTATCTTTCAAAATTTAATTAAGTTAAACTAAACACTGCGATTAAATATTTTTTTCAAAATACTGAACTACAATATTATAGGACGAAAGGAGTAATTTCTACTATTACCTGTAGCATATTTCTGGGCTACTATTTCACATTGAACCATATATGAGACAAGTGAGTAAAATTAAGGAAATCAAAGTGGTATTAATAAAAAGAGAGCTAGAATACAGTATTTAACATTGGTAATTCTTTTTAAAAAGATAATAGAATCTATACGAAAAGCAAAATAAAGGTTGTGAATTTGCATTAAATAATACTTGAACATACTCCCTCAATCCTAAAAAATCTTTCTAGTTTTAATTTTTAAAAGAATTAAAGTGAACGTATTCTGGTATTGATTTTCCAAAAAGACCATTGGATGTAATTGGCAAAAAACGATATGATAGATAAATTAATACTCCCTTCGTTTGGAAAAACTCTTCCCATTCTGATTTGGGACAAAAATAAGGAAGTATTAAATTATAGTTGATTTCTAATTTTGCCCCTAATGTGATGGGTAAAAGTAAGATGCGATGGATAGATTATTAGAGAAAAAAGTATGATGTGATAGGTAGGTTATGAAAAAGTAAGGGTAAAAGTGGTTTTTTAATAGAAAAGAGAAGTATTTTGTTGGAATTGGAAAAAAAGAAAGAGGAAGTGTTTTTGAGAACGGATGGAGTAGTAAAAAATGTGATGTGATAGGTAGGTTAAAAATTAGTAGAGGCAAACGTGACTTTTTAATAAAAATGAGAAAGGTTTTGGAACGAATAAAAAAGAAAGCATAAAGATTTTGTGGGACGGGAGAATATGTCTTTTTCCAATATATTTGGTACCTAAAACTTTTTATCCTCTAAATAGTACTCCGTACTTAAATAATGTCTAGTGGCGGTGAATATTTACTTTGAATAATGTTCAACGGCGATGGACATTTACTTGAACAATATCTAGTGTAAATTGAACAGTAAAACCAATTGTACCACATTAAAAAACTCACTATGCTTTAGTACTATATAGACAAATTCTCCATTAAGTATCACATTTTTCATACACTTTCATGTGGATATTTTATATTTTGTAAAAGGCCCATTTTTTATGTTATAAATATACTAAGATTCATAAAATAAACATGACCCATTGAAGAATTATTCGCTCATAGAGATTTTAAAAAGTAAAAGAAAAAAATAAGGCTAAAATTAGATGCGTGAGACTGAAATAACACCGCAGGAAGAAGTTTAAAAGCCAAGAAGATGAACCTTTTTCTTACAAAGAAAAAACCAAACCATACTGTTTTAGTTTCATTAAAAAACAAAAACAAAAAAGAACATTATTCATTAAAATCCATAAATTAATTTTTAATTTTTCCCTAATGTTTTTTTTTTTGAAATAATCTCAGATCAAGTTGCATGCATCTTACTCCCTATTACGGAGTAATTAATTGCTACAGGCTAGTCTGAGAATATACGAGTATAAATGTAAAATAATCTTCTTTTGTTTATTTATTTATTTATTTATTTATTGGTATATACCTCGTATATATATATATATATATATATATATATATATATATATATATATACACGGAGTATATCGTATTTATTTATTATTATTTATTAATATTTATTTAAGAATGCATTTAATTTAGGAAGATGAAGAATCAACCCATTCCAAAAGAGGAACACACAATGAGAATGGCAGAAAGTGCAGTTTGCTCCTACCCCAAAATGACTTTGACCAGAAAAAAACACAACCAAAACTGCATCAATATAAAAGAATACTTGTATAACCTAACCCTATATATATATATATATATATATATATATATATATATATATATATATATATATATATATATATAATTTAAATAATTTATAAACAAATTATGAGAGTTGCTTACCCCAAAGACATAGAGTAAACCATTGTTAATAGAGTAGCAAGAAGAATGCCCCCATCTTTCACAAAGATAATAATTAGAACCAACCCTAACCTTTGGATAAACCCAAACTGCCTTCTTCTTCTTCTTATTGCTATTATTCCCAATTTCACCACTACAACCCAAAGAACCCATTATTGGTTTTTTTTTTTGCTTTTTTTTCTGTTGTTGCTTAAAAGGGGTAAATATAATGATGGAGGGGTTAAGTGCAGAGAGGTGGCCTGGGCAGAAATGAAAATATAAGGGTGGGGTGGGGTTGGGGGATAGGCAATTAAGTGACATATCAAAGATGATGAGTGTCAAAGAAAATGGAGGTGATGAAAAGATGGGGGCTTAGCTTTCAAGTCTAAATCAGGTAGTACTGTGACACCAACAAGTACTAATGAAATGAGAGGCACCCATCATCATCATCACCTCACCATCATCATCATATCATCACCTTAGAATATAGAAAAATACTACATGTACCCCATATTTGTACCCCACTTTTTACTCCAAAGCATTACCATGACATTAAATGTATGTGCAAAACTGGTATTATTCCAATGATGGGTACGTGTAGCGTGCTCCTAGAATATAAGAGCATTTAAAATGATATCAAAATCTCCTCTTGTCTAACTCGTGTCACATCAACATTCTACTAACTTGTAAGTCTGCTCTAAAATTCTACTCTCTCCGTTCTATAAAAGTGTTCTTATTTTGACTTTGTGTAAAAATAAGGAGGTGTTAAATTATAGTTGACTTCCAATTTTGCCCTTGATGTGATGGGTAAAAGTAAAATGTGATGGATTGAGTATTATAGAAAAAACATGATGTGATAGATAGGGTATGAAAAAGTAAGGATAAAAGTGGTTTTTTAATAGAAAGTGGAAGTGTTTTGTTAGAAGTAAAAATGAAAGAGGAAGAGTTTTTGAGAACGGAGGGAGTATAATGATATAGTCTTGAAAATTCGTCTCTTCATTTTTTTACATTATTCATCATTTTTATTTCAAAACTAATACTCCCTCCATCCCAAAATATTTGCCACGTTTTTTTTCAACCATCACGGAATTTTTTGTTTATTTGTACACTTTCATTGATTATCTGATAAAATAATGTATTCTTGACACTTTATTTCGAAAAATTGTCAAGCAGTTTTTAAATAAGTAAATTTTATTTTTTATTTCTATACTAATTATTAAATAAAATGAATTGAAAAAACTTGATGTTTTACCTCATTTTTTTAAATATGGAAAACATTTAGGGACGGATGGTGTATAAATTTAATACAATTTTTTATTGTAAGAAAAAAATATGAATAATAATAAAAAAAAAAGTAGTAAATTCAATCTAAACAAGAATTGATACAATTTGACAATAATTAGTCTTGAGCACAGCTTGGAACATAAATACTCAAATGGAGCTGGCGGAATCGGTTTCGTGAGAATGTCTGCTAACTGCTTTGATGAAGGAAAATGATGTATAGTCATAGTGTCTGTCATTACTTTATCTCGTACAAAGTGACAGTCTGAACCAACATGCTTCATACGAATATGTAGAACTAGTTTTTATTCCCGGGATATGAGTTACAATGTTGTTAATGCATATTTGTCAATCATGATCTGTCACATTACCACAATCTCAACTCCTATTTAGAGAAAAAAAAATATGAAACTCTAGTTTTAGTACTTTCTCTATAATTTATTTCTATTTTGAATGATTTCTTAATTTTTATTCTTATTTAAGGTGATTTCTTCTATCTCAACGAATTCAAAAGCTAATACCATGAAAAAAATAAATCTTTAATTACTCCTTCCGTCCTGAAATGTTCTTCCCACTTACTATTCACACGGTCTGATGGTGTAAATTACCTAACCGGGTAAACTTTTCTAGACCGGGTCTAGAATCGTTCACTTGATTCGATAAAGTAAAAAGGCAATAAACACGCAAAATGACCCGTAAGGCTGTAGGAGGAAACATCTGTAGCCTAATTGATATTAATATGAGAGAATGCACGGGTGCTTTTACAAGGGAGTTTAGAGAGAATGAATTCGGATCTCTCTTTCTGAGGTTTACAGCAGTATTTATACTAGGTTTGGGGTGACAGGACGCCGTGCACCCACGTGAAGGCACGTTCTCGGATGGTAGGAGGTGATGGGCTTCGTCCTCTTGCTGCCTTGTCATCTTGCGAGGGAGATTGCTCCCTTGTCGCGTACTGGCTTGGACAGATTCCTCTAGCATCTCCATTGATCTTCCAGCGATACTAGTCACTACAATCCAAGCTCTTTTGGATTCTTCTCTGCCGACACTTTCCAATCCTAGAAACCATACCGGGTGGTTCCTGAGGGATGAGTTTATTGAAAATCAGAATGAATGTGGCGACGAAGTACTTTGACCGGTATACTATCCGAAGTATACCGGTCAACCTTTTGGTCAACCTTTTGGTCAACCGAGCATCCTTTTACTGGCGATTTAGGTCTCCCTTCCAAGAATGGTCAACTTGACCGGTCCAATATTTGGACTTTCTCTTTGACCGGTCCTGGGTGGAATACACCCATCACGGTCAAACTTTAATCACTTTCTTTACCTATTTTCATCAGGTATTTGATAAAATAATATAGTATTATCACCACTTGTTTTGTAGAACTTTTGATGTAGTTTTTAAATATATAAATTTTATTTTTTAATTTTACACCTACAAACAAATAAATTGAATTAAAAATAAAGTTGGTCAAATTTCGTAAACAGAACCGAGAAGAACATTATAGGACGGAGGGAGTATATTCTAAATTAACGCAATTTTTTCTTGATGTAGCTCTAGATTGCAAGTTTGTTATGCGTGGCGATGAACACTTCTTTTTATGCACATGTAAATTGTGATATCCATAATCAAATTAATTAAAAATTATAATATACATAAATTTTTCAAAAATCTACAATTCATTTTATTATATAATTTTTCAAAAGAACTATATTAATTTTAATTCTGAAATTTTGGAATCTAATATTTTAAATTTTCATTGATTAAAATAAATTTTATTAATACTACATCCAATGACCAATAATATAATGTTCTATAAAAGTTTCCATTTTCAAGTATTATACAAATATTCATATTAGTATTGTAATATTATTAATCTACTTAACTATTTAAAAATTATATAGATTCTTAAAAATACTCACTATTTTTCTTTTTATTGCTTTTCATAGAACAAAAGTTTATATAAATGTAAATAAATGTGCATCATTATTTCAAAAAAAAACATATCATAGAAAATAATTAAAAATATTTATGTAACACATATCATATATTTATAGTAGACCTTCATATATGTTAGATGAACATTTCTTAAGTTTTAACGTAAGTATTTAAAAAAAATTACCAGAAGGTCAATGTGAATCTTAGGTCTAGCATAGAACCATATTACTTTAATATTTTTTATAAAATATTTTAACTTTATGTAATACTTCATACATCCTACAAAACCTTTTATTTTTCATCCATTCCAAAAAAACATTTCTCAATCCTGTTAAAAAGTCACTTTTATCTCTATTAATTCTTAACCTACCTATCACATCATACTTTTTTACTATTTATGTACTCATCATATCTTCTTTAACTTTCATATTTTAGGATATTTTTGGAAAGTCAACACCAAAATATACTCCATTTAAATCTTTTAAAAGTCAAAACCAGAAAAATTTTGTAGGACGGAGGGAGTATTATCTCATGCATTAGATTTTAAAAATATATTCTATCCATGTAGAATATTTGTAAACATAAATAAACTGATATTAAATACTCCTTACATCCAACAATAAACTTTTTTAAAAATTACTTTATTTATAAATTGGTATATCATAAAAAAAGTATAAATATTTTGTTCAAAACTACATCAAAAGTTCTACAAAATAAGATGTGATAAGAATAGTTTATTTTATCAAATAATTGATGGAAATACACAAACAAACATATGTTATCAAAAGATCGTAAGAAGAACTGGAAAGTTTATTGTAAGACGGAGGAAGTCGTATTTTCTTAAATGGTAAAAAATTTTAGAATGTTATTCTAAAAAATGTGAAATTTGTACTAAATAGGACTAAAACATAAATCATTTTCCAATGTAGGACTTAAAACTTTTTTATTTCCTAAATAGGACTTAATAATATCTAATTGATGGAATAATGTCCAGTAATGATGGATATTTAATTGAATAATGACTAATTGATAATTACCAAAAGTCCTACATTGGGAAATAAAAATATATGGTCCTATATTGAGAAAGTCATTATGTTTTAGTCCTATTTAAATAAATTTTTCTTGTAAAATAGGAAACCATGGCAACACATTTTAATTTGATCGAATGTAATGAGAACCAGTAGACAAACATAGAGAATAAGGACCCCATAAATCACAATGGATTAAATCAAACAATGCATCAGCTTTATTAGTACTCTGGGAAAAACTAGATCGAGTTTGTTTTGAAAAGAAACAAATCTCACATGACTGAAACTTCTTAATTTCAACAGTGCTTTTATTGAAAGGGGGTAAAAATAACACTTGGGGTGATGGATGGCCAAGACGCTGATGCAACAGAGACACGGATTCAGCTTTGGCCGCTTGGGCGTGGGAAGGGAAGACATAAACTTCGTTGCGCATTTCACATCGTCCAATCTGCGTCTTCGTCTTCGAAGTTCGGTCATGTATCACACAAAAATGGTCATCAAAGAAAACATGACAGTTATGAGAGTTGACAAGACAACTCACAGAAATCAAGTTGCATTTTAAAGTCGGCACATAAAGCACATTATTTAAAACCAAAGTCGGGGAAAGGTGCACTCGTCCACACGAGTTCGCCACGACTCGTGCTCCGTTAGGCAAGCTAATTGTGCAAGGAGATACAGATTTGATGCCCGTCAAATGAGAAAAAATTCATGTCATATGATGAGAAGCCACACTGTCGATTAGCCATTCACTCGAAGTAGGACGAGACGTACCTTGCAACTTATCAGGAAATGAGGGCGATGATTCCAGCATGGAGAAGAGACGGGCAACTTGATCAGGTGATAGTGCAGAGAGGGAGGAGGGTGTCTCGGCCGCTGCATGGGCTGACAGGCCTGCCGTACCC